CATCGGGTCTTTATTTATTAAATTTTTTTATATATTGTTTGTATATTTATTTGTGTATTTATTTATATATATATTTATATATAGTAATATGTTCATTAATTTATTTATATATATATTTATATATATATATATTTATTTATTTGTATATTTATATATATTATAATATGTTCATATATTTTTTAAATATATTTTTTATATTTAAATAGATATATATATATATATATTTACATATGTTTATATATTTATTAATAAATAAATAAATATATAAACAAATAAATATATAAATACATAAATATATATATAAATATATATACAAATAAATATATAAATGAATATATGAATAATTACAGTATATATATAATATAATAATACAGTATACATAAATAAATATATAAAAATATAAATATATATACAAATAAATATATACAAATAATATATTAATATTTATATATATAAATATATATATATGTATAAATATATATATATATACAAATGAATATATATAAATATATAAATAAATATATGAACACACTAATATATAAAAATAAATATACAAATAAATATACAAACAATATATTAAAAAAATTTAAATATTACATATACAAATAAATATATAAATAAATATACCAAAAAAATATATAAATAAATATGTAAATAAATATATAAATAATTACAGTATATAATAAAAAACAATAATACAGTATATATATATATAAATACATAAATATATAAATATATATACACAAATAAGTATATCAAAATAAATATATAAATATATATATAAATAAATATATAATAAATATATACATAGGCCTATATATATATATAAATGAATATACAAATAAATATATATATATATATAAATATACAAACAAATATAAAAATATATAAATAAATATATAAATATATACAGTTTATATAAAATAATATATATATAAATAAATAAATACAGTACATACATATATATATAAATATATCTGTATGTATGTATCTGTATATCTGTATTTTAATAACATCTCTATCAGCGCTGCATACTTCCGGATCGACGATTCGAAAAAGTGGTCGGGCGTTCTCTCCTTTAAATCAAATACTACATATTTACCTTTCCTAACTATTGAATCAAATAAATTGATTGAAAAAAATGCGTCACGAATATGATACTGCATACGAACATACACACCTGCATGACTCTGTAACGGCCACGTTAGATAAACGTTTTAATTTTTATTGCATGTAACAACACAACCCACAACCAAACCACACCAGCTCCCACCACCGACAAAGCTCAAACTTTGTTCAATGGGCTATTACATCATTGATGCTTTCGTTATTATTTACTTTATATTTTATATTAAGTACCGTATGTAATCAAAATGTCGTGTTAATGTATAATTGTTCCTGCTGTCTTTCCTTTGATGTATCGTCCATTCCCTTGTGTGTGTTAATTCTTTTGAAATTATTTGGCCACTTTTCATGTGGAATTATGTTATATTCAAATAGTGTATTTAATGTTTTTGCATATTTGAATTGAAATGAAAGAAAGTAAACAAATAAATAAATAACCATTCATTAACAGTATTGTAATCAAAAGTTAAACTTACGAGTTCGACAGTCACACCAACAGTGAGGAGAATCATACTTCCTTAAAATGCACATTGAATTACAAGTAAACCAGTCTGAAAAAAAGACAACTAACAATCAATGACGTATTTAAAATGTGTCTGAACTGTAGTCTCGGGAATATCAGAAGGGTATACGTAGGCCTAATTCCCACCATGGTTGTGTCGAAGGGGCTTAGTGGCCGGTAGGCCTAATAGCACACACAGACTTAAATTTTAATGTATCCTTCTTTTCCTTTTTAAAAATTTTCAACAAATTGAGGTGGAAAAGGATGCATCTGGGAAGAAATCAGAAAAAATACCAGTAAGGAAAATCACTAGTAGAAATAAACACCACAACAATGGAAACAATCAATGGGAGATTGGTAAATAATTTGTAAGAAGTTTTCTCTCCACTTTCGTTTATATAAAATGATTTTTTTCTTCCCAAAATGCAGGCCTATAAAAACATCGAACAAACACTTCGGAAAATTCGGAAATAATTCAAAAATAATAAATGCAACTTACCGCCACATGTCTGTCCCCGGGCCGAAGAGGTCGGATTAGAGGCCGCTCCGCTTTCTAAATAATCAAATAATGTCGGTATATAAAATGCAGTTCAAAACAGTTTCGTGCAGTGATTTTTCATTGCACTGTTTGTGCGTTTCGTGTGAAACCTAAGATTATTAAAAGGGAAAAATAATAGCAAGGGATTGTTGGTCCCTTTGTTTGTTCTTTTTAATGATTTGTCCGTTTGACTACATAGACCTAAGAAAAAAAAATTGAAAACAAGATTGAGCAGGTTCATTTATGATTTTTTTAAAATAATGTTTTCTCGATAAATAGTATGTTTGTTTTTTTTTATTTTTATCAGACGCTACTGCCTACTGATAGGCGTACATTTAAATAGTACACCATACGCGCTATTACAATAGTGGCAATGGTGTAACGATGGGGCTGGAGCCCTACTTAATAAGACTGGGGATCTTTTTGGGTCACGGTCGTGAGTTCCATTGTGGGATTTTATATGTGCTCGTTTTATAATCATGTTCAGAGTTGGGGTGTGGGGGTGGGAACATAGTAAGATGAATGTGAATATGAATTGCAGATTAGAGTGTATTATGTAAACATCATGCAATTTAGCATATGGTGCCATTTCATATATAATAAAATTGAATTGAATATACATAATATATAATTTTGGTTAGAAAACTTTATTTAATTAATTTTACAAAATGAATATGAAAGTCGAATTTTAATTACTTAGCTCATACAAATTCATGCAAAACTCACTAAAAACCTTCAAGATCTGACGCTAGGCCAGTAGTTACCCTCTCCCATAGGCCTAAAAGAGATGCACTTTCAAATAATGTGAGAAACACCGAACCCTCTCACCCCAAAATTTTGATAGGCCTATATATCTATAATATAATTACCATTATTTCAAAGCCTATATACATATTGGAAAACCGTGGTCCGCAATAAATATCTGGGATTTTTAACCTACCGGTCTGGAAAACTGTAACAACATACTGTAAACCTTCGAAGTCTCGATCCCACGAAGTGAATGCCTATCATATCAAAATAATTACTTTACCGTCGGGGGGTTATTTTTAACCGGACGGGTAGCTATAGGGCTACTTCCGCATTTGCTTTTTTTTTCCCACAAAAAAGTAATGTACGGTACGTAAGCATACGGTATGTGTTAGTGGACAGTATGTGTGTTTGTAGGACACGCGCGTTTAGTTCGATTGACACTCTGGAAATGTCCATTGGTGGGTAGAAAAATTGAACGAGGAAACACAGGTTTAAAGCAGAGACTGCAAATGTTGGACAAAATGCCTATTCCTAATACAAAATATTTTATATTTCTGACATGTGATGGACTTTTTTCCATACCAATTAATACTATTGCTGTTGCATATAGGTTTGGTGGTTTTTAAATATTTTTGTTATGAAAAAACAATATAAAACTGCTATCAAACCCTGTACCTAGTCTCTTATACAATTTTTTTTTATATATATAATTTTAGGACAAAATCGAGTATGGGACGCCAAATAAATTAGGTATGGCGCGCAATAAGCGCAAAAAGTGAGTAACCCAAAATTAGGGCCTGGAACCCAGGCTACTAATCTCTCTATAAAGTAGGGCCTATGCTTTGCAAATCATTAAACATGATCTAAAGACTGCATTTTTTACTTTACGTAACTAGAGAAATAACTGAACTAGATAAAATGCAACCCGTCTTCTTTTAGTTGTCATGAATAATTTTTATTTTTATCGAGAGTAATCTCGACGTTCATATACTCACATTTTAACATTCAAGAAATCCACACATCTGTCTATTATAAATATTACGAATTTAAATTTCCTAACTGTTGATTCAGCATGTAATGTATTGATGGAAAAAATATGTCATGAATGATGCTGCATACGAACATATACACCTGATGACTCTAGTAAAATGTGTAATTCGTAACGTCTACTTAAATAAACGTTTTAATGATTTATACATGTAACAACAGAACCCACAACCACACCAGCTCTCTCCACCGACAAAACTCAATCGTTACCCTTGTCTAGTAGACAATTACATCATTGATCCTTTTGTTACTATTATTTATATTTTACCTTATGTAATCAAAATGTTTTTTAATGTGTAATTGTTCTGCTGTCTTTATGTATCGTCCCTTCCCTTGCGTTTGTTAAATCTTTCGAAACTATTTAGCCACTTGCCATATGAAATTATGTTTTATTCAAATATAGTGTATTAAAGTTTTTGCATATTTGAATTGAAATGAAAGAAAGTGAATATAAATAAATAGATTAACTGTTCATTAAGAATATTGTAATCAAAAGCCAAACTTACGAGATCTGCAGTCACACCAACATTGTGAGTAACCGTCACTTGTGTACGCCCAAGAAATGCACGTTGAATCACAAGTCTTGTCTAAAAAAAGTCGAGTAACAATGACGTATTTAAAATGTGTCTGAACTGTAGAATCGGGAATATCAGAAGCGTACGTATATGTAGGCCTACATTCAAGGTTTGCTGGCAAGAAAAATAAGTGAGTTGCATAATGATGATAATGGTAAGTGAAGATTAAAAAGATTGGATTTCTTTACGAATGTGAATAGTTGTGTAGTTGTGAAGCAGGCTTCTTTTCCATAACCCGTTCCAACTGATTGTAAATCGACGGAAAATTACCGATAGATTCGTACTATGTAAATTTCAATAGAGTTTATGGACAAGAGGGCCATCGGCGGTGGATCAAAAAATACGAAAGACAGGAGGAAGGTTTACAGTTACACAACTGCGGCGGATGTAAAATTTGGCGGTAAGGGGTGCGTGAGAGTCCACACGGTTTAGGCCCCACCTGGGGCTGAGGCGAGAACCTTTTGAATGCCCTCAAGGTGTCCTGGAAATTGCACTCTCATACTTTAAAAATCTTACCTGTACTATGTCCATAATGGAAGGTGTGAATCACATCAGCCACACCTTAGTTGGTGCGGAGAGGCTTAAGGTCGGTAGACCTACTAAAGCTCACAGACTTTTAAAACGAATTGGGGTGAGGGGGGCTGGGCGGAAATCAGAAAAAATACCGGTAGGAAAAAAAGCAATAGTAGAAATAAACACCCAACAATGGAAGTACTTCAACAGTCCAAAAATGGAAATTGGTAAATAATTTGTGAGGAGTTTCTCGCTCTCCACTTTCGTTAATTTTTAAAAAATTCCCTTTCTTCTGAAGATGCAGGCTTAAATCAAAAAAAAAATACATCGAATAGGCCTACACAGATTAAGCAGAAAATTTGGCAATAACTCAAAAATAATATGCAACTTACCAACGCATAAATGTTCCAAAAAGGTCGGATAAGATTCCGCTCCGCTTTCTAAATAATTAAATAATTACGATATTTACAATACAGTATGCAAATAGTTTCGTGCAGTGATTTTTCATTAGTGCACTGTTTGCTCGACCTTTTTGCTGTTCGTGTTCAAAAGTTCAAACAAAACTGCATGTGTCGC